CCTCACCATGGGGAGTGCAGGAAATAGGTGACACAGATCTGAGAGCTGAGTATAGGGAAATGACAGGAGAATCTCACTCATTTTCTTATGTATCATTTACATGTGGAAAATAAATTCAGATATGTTGATGAATAAAACATATGATTAACATTTTTCACCCATGTTCCTTATTACTTTTTAAATGTGTTCCTTGGAATTTCCTCCCTCCCTCCTGTGTTTCCTTCCTTCCTTTCTTTTTTGGCACTGAGGAATCAAACTCAGAGGCACTCTACCACTGAGCTACATCCTTAGCCTTTTAAAATTTAAAAAAAAAAAAATTGAAGCAGGATCTCATTAGGTTGAGTTGCCTTTGTTGGCCTCAAGTTGAGATCATCCTGCCTCAGCCTCCCACATAGCTGGGATTACACTTCTGTGCTTGGCAGCTACTGGAAAATCTGAAGTTGCCTCAACAGCTAACAGTGCCTTTCAGCCTGGAGGCACTGCTCTAGGCCGAGGTTGAATCAGACTAAGACTTTTCCCAGCTGCCTGCTGTGGCAGAGCAGTTTTTTTTTTTGGGGGGGGGGGAAGGCAGCCGAGTCCCACAAAGAAGCTGGAGACTGCAGCTTCTTAGCTCCAAAGGAAGGGTGTGGGGTGCAGACCTGCCTGCATGCGAGGTGTCTGTCACAGAAGCTGAAGGCACCCTGGGGAGTTGTCCCTGTGTGGCCCAGTGTTATGTGTCCGTGTCCTCGGTGTCCTCCGTGACTCCCTCCTCTTTCTTGTGGTTAGCAGCCCCTCTTGTGCCTGTGGCTTCCTGGGCCTGCCATCTTGCTTGGTAGGAGGTGTCTGCCAGACCTGGGTTGGCAAAGGGAGAGCTGTGTGCACCTGCAGGGCAGCGTGTGTGGACAGTGAAGGGGTGGAGGGGGAACGACGCCCGCCTGCACCGTGGCCCACGCACCCAGCATAGTGCAGAGGTCCGTGTCCACACAGCTACCCGGGAGTGAGGGGCCTGGCCGTTGGTGGGCGCTGATTTTGTCCCTCATCGAGCTTTGTGATCTGACAGCATACATACATGAGTTGTCCATCTTTCTTTTGGTTTAGGTGTTAACCCGTACGGCACAGCACAGAGCGACTTTCCCATGACGAGGAAA